GTGAAACACTTCTCATTTTCCCCGTGGATGTAGGAACCACGTAAATCTTGCGTTGTTGTGTGAATGTTTGATTTCTTGAGATGTGGATGTATGTATGATCTCTTTCTCTTGTTTACTTCATAGATTTGTGCTATCTACTTGATTTAGTTGTTCCTAGCTATCTTCAAGTGTTATCAACAACAAATGTGTCACCTTGGAAAGTTTACCTCTTTGTTCTACAAATTGCTTCCGCGTTCTTTATGTAGATTTGGCGCAACACCAACTGTAAGCCAACCAACACTTTGGATCTGCTTCCGTGCATCAAATTCATTCTAGAGCTGCTTCCTTTGATATTTATGTGGATCTGCATAGATAGCAGATAACATCCAGGGTTCATCCTGTGGCTTCATACTCAATACTGCGTGAATCACACTAATAGATTGGACTGCTCCTGAAATGCTCACCAAGTCATCATCTCATAAGAACCAGATACCTCCAACATATGTTCTTGCTCCTACAACAAAATGTCCTGAAAATCCTAGAGACTCAATAGTAGGCATGGATTTCTCAACTGACTGCCTAGTTTCAGCTACTATCACAATCTTAGGTGACAAAAACTTTCTTAACTCCTTTAGGTTATTCCTACATTCTAAGTTACCAACTCCTCTTGCATTCTAGATCACAATGTTCATTTGGTCAACCATTAGTAGATCTTCTTCCATTAAAGTGTTGGCGCACATATGCTTTGAAGCGACGCCAATACTGTCCTTTCCATATCTCTTCTCTCCCAGAAGTGTTGGAACCATTGTTATGTAGAACAACCTCCCCACCCTGTTCCCTATTGTTCCCATATTGACTTGAACATCTATTTCCACCTTACAATATTTCTGCTTAAATGCATGACCCCTGGGACTAAGTAGGTTCTTAGATCCCCTTTTTCTATTTTCAGAGATTTGGCTTAAGGTCCACTATTTCATTTTTGTTTTGTTAATAGATAGAGAACGTTTCATGATTAGTCTAAAAGATGAGGTTTGGCCATTGCGGATTTGACTTATTTTTTTTACGTTTTTACCATTTAGCCTGTGTGGACTTTCCTTAAAGATTCTACACGATTCTGAAGAAAACTGTTAAAAATGTTGATCTTTGACTGCTTAGAGGACTCGAGTCAAATTGCACTAAGCTATAAACAAAAACAGTCATTGATAGATTAAGAACCAATAGAAACCACTGGTTAATGGCTTATGAAGTAATTTCTTTTTTGGACATCTTAATGGACGAAGCCTCTAAAACATTATAAATGACTAAGCAGTGAAAAAAGTAGTGATTAATAGGCTAAACGTTAAAAGAACCAATGCTTAATGGGCTAAGAACTGCTTTGCTAAAATCTGAACTAGCAGCAAAAATTATAAATAAAGAAAAGCGAAAGCCAAAAGGAGACTGTTTAGTACACTAAGCAGTATACTCATTATTGAGACGTGTCATCTTCAAGAGTCTGGCATAGGTAGGTGGACCCTTTGGCTTTCCCATTATATTTAATGGTGGTTGAAGTAGTTTAGGATGATGATTAAATGATCTAATGACCTCTGGTGTTAAGAGTGTTTCGGAGTGGGGCAGGAGCAAGTATTAGTTGCTGACCTCCACTATGCTGATGATACCATGGTGACATGGTCTCTTGGTTTGTGATCCACCTCAACTTCAGTTCCCCTGTTGGATGTGTTTTTCTTTGAGGCAGTCTCTTGCTTGAGGGTTAATTTGTCCAAAATTTAAGTGTTTCTTATGGGATATTCAAATAATGTGGTCTTGTTAACGAACACTATATGTTATGCACCTTATAGATTTCCTTCTACTATCTTGGACTTCTGCTGGGCGGGGATTACAGGTCCATTGCACTCGGGTGTCAAAAATAAGGTTAGGAAGATCTTGGAGGACTGGCAGTCTACTTTTATAAGGGAACGTAGCTTATCCTATTAGACTACTCACTCTAGCTTGCTAGTTTCTTTCACAATTTCTACAAAGTGCTAGGTGGTTGTTGGGCGGTGGGGGATTGCTTAGCGCGAAGCCACCACCTAGGCATGTATACGTGAATATTTATTATTAAGGCTTCTTTAAGACAAGAGAATGGACTTTTATGTTTAGGTATGTTTGATGTGCTTTTGCAGTTTCTAGAAATGGAGGTTTTTTCTTACACAGCCGTGCCCAATTAAATAGCATAAATGCCTATAGGCCTAGGCAAGTCGCACAGACACTGCTTAGCTTTCCATTTGAGAGATTTGTGCTTGGATGGGCTCTTTGCAATGTGGGAGCTAGACTTGTTGCTACTGTGGTTTTCAATTGTTGGTTTTTGCTTTTTTCCTAATGTATTGTCGAACCTCTCTCCCTGGTGCCTATATTCCTTGTACACTGGTTCTAATATAATACATTTCACCTTTAACGATCAAGCACAAATAAAGTAAAAATTGTTAGTTTCTTGTTTGTACATAATTAAGAAATTAATATTGATTTATGATTAACTATATTCAATTTCGTTGCAAGTCTCATAGTTTTCATGAAAAGAGAGTTAAAACAAAGAAAGTTCAATGATAAATAAAAAAGAAGTTTCGTTGGTAGCATAATTAGCTTAAGTTCGCTTATGTATTAACTCTTTGGTTTCTGCACCTGTTCTGCATGTATTCTCTGGTCAAAGTTCTACAATAGCAGTGCTCCAGTCAATGGATGTTTTGTTCTGACACTGTTTCTAGAACCTAGTTGAAGTGCACTCTAACATGTTGAATCCTTTTGTTTGGTAAACTAATATACAGTTGAATTGCGTTTCAACATTTATAGGTTACCCTTTCTGGAAATCAACAGCCTATCCGCACTGAAATCACTGAGGCAGCAATGGAGTTAGGATCTGAAGTAAGTGGGCAAAGTTTAATTATTGAGACTTTAGAGATAACCTTCTTGGAGGGCTTTACCTCAAATTTTAAATGCTGATTAGAAAATACCTAATCGAGAAGCATATTAGAAATGAATGGTACACATGTTAATATTATATATATTTCAACCCATAGTTGGAATTTAATTGATGCCATGTCACAAAGTTAGCAGGAAGGCTGAATGGCTGATATCTCAGATTTTTGACCTTATGTAATTGGTGACTTTTTTTTTTATTAG